AAATGAGACCTCTGATTAAAACAAACTGCACATTTTGAAAAGAACCGAGAACTTGGTACAGTTTAGAGTCATAGCAGAGTTTTCAATCTATATGCATTTCGTCGAAACTGAGAACGCATATTTTTTCTACAGAATACAAAATTTCGCCTCGCCTCTTTCCTTCTTTAGAGTAAGAACATGACTTTGAATTCTTGGACTACACTAAAATTTAGCGGCACCATTTCTTTAATTTGCTAATACTAGGTAAAGATATTCCAGTTTTTTCTTAATTTTTTTTCTTTCCAAAATCATAGCTTTAAGATGACAGAGCTCTTATGACAATGCAGCGTGAAATATCTTCACTAGTCCACTTGATTTTTTCCTTCTTTTTCAGTAATACATTAATCTGCGTCTTTATAAAAATAGGCTTTAGACATTTTTTCAAATTCTCCGATTTGTGCTTCCCCCCCCCCAAATTTCGCTATTTGAGATTTTAATTTTTGATACCAATTTCTGTCTAGATGTCGTCCACCTTCTTTGCCGCTGAACAAACATTCTAAAATTTTTCTTTTCTCTATTTTTCAATACTTTAATACAATTTTCTAAGGATATTATTTTGTTCTTCAAATTATCAATGCATTCTTGTTTATCCTTAAACTTAGGGCATTCAAAAATATCTATATTTTCATTTGTGAGTTTTATTTCAAAATCATTAAAATTTGATTTACTATTGTCATCATCAATTTCGATTTATTATTGTCATCATAATTTACTTTTGGCACAGCATTCCATTTCAACAGTTTCTTTTTGTGGCTATCCAAACAAGCGATTTTTCATATCATCTTCATATACACTGCATAGAAAATGTTCGCTGCAGATTTTCCCGCTCTTCGCATTAATAGAATCTTGTCTTTGACATTTGTGTATCCATTCTTTCGTCAAAAGCAAAACATTACCTTTGGTCCCATGAAATAAAATATCTCATCCTTTCGTACTTCTGTAAGTGCTACGACAAGTTACTACAGCGCAAAAAGCCATATTACGTAAACGGTACTTTACAATATAGAATTTAAAATAAAAACTGACTAAATTACATATATAATTTTTTAAATATATTTTGATTAAAATTATTGGAATTGACTCTAGAAATCGTCCGCAGCTATGAACACTTTTAAAGCGAAATCAAAAGGTTCACATGCTAGATGCTTTATGCCTATAGGCTCGCGGGGCATGGAGTAGGAAAGGGAGGAGGGGCCATTCCGCGCTAGAAGTGAAGCACTGCTTTGAAGCTTGGGTCACCAGATGGGGTGTTCTTTGTTTACATTCAGAAGCTCGCTTGACAAGATTCTGATAGTATTTCGACACACGACAGTTCCATAGAAATCGAAAAAGGGACACTTTCGCATGAAAGAAACATTCATAGTGTGATGGATAATAGCAATTTGTATAGTTTACTGACATTTACGCAAAAATCACATCTTGGTTATTTTTCGATAACTAACAACAGCGATTTTGATTATGAATTTGTTTTATAAAATTCTAAGCTGTTGCACTACAAAAATATAGATTTTAAGAAAATGTTATGCTTAAAGAATGAAAAATACCTTACGGTACATTTAAAATTGTATACGTCTTTCGATACCCTTGATAGAGTATTCGCTACTTTTATTTTATTTTCCAAACGAAAATGTTTTAAATAAAACAAATTTTTTTCACATCCATATATTATTGTAACATGTACCTTTTAAAATTTTTAGAGGAAGGCTTTACTGCTGCTCATTTTAAACCCATCGTTTTAATTTTATATATCTGAAAAATAATCACTTTGGGCTTACACGTTTATAAATATAAAATTATGTATGTTAAAATATTTGTAATTAGGCACATAGGTCAGATTAAGTTTTTATTAAATAGAGTAACGCATGCAAGGGCTATCTGCCTAAAGAGAGAGATGCCATCGTGGAGGAATTTTGAAGAAAAACTGACCTTTGAGTGGGTATTAAAAATAATACTTATAATTTTCATTCAAATTATATTCATATATATTTTTTATGTAAAACTTTCGGGTGTATGCTAAATTAGTGTAAATTACTTTACACGAAAAATATAGTGAATGCACAGAAATTAAAGATTTGCACATGCCGGAAATGATAAATAGGAAATATGTATGGGTATTTATGCATGTGCTTGCAAAAAGCATATATCTGTATCTGCCTTTGACAAAATACTTAAATATTCATTAAATTATTTATAAATGTATTTGAAATGAAGAATTTATTCACTTATAAACAACTGTGAAAGTACTGTGAAGAAATCTAATGATTAAATGTATCTAATTTATAATGATTATAAATGTTATCTAAATATATAATAACCTTAATATTGAATTGTAAACATAAATTGAAATCCTGTTGACAAATACGTTATAAAACTATTTAAGCAAGAATTGTTCGTATTGGAAAGCAATCTGTTAAAAGGTATTGTAAAGCAAATGCTATGAGATGCGCACTTAAGAACGTAATAAAGAGTTTTGGAATATGTATTGTTGAAATGAAGGGTAAAAAAAAAAATCTGATAAGTATAATTAAAAGAATTATTCCCTTACATTTTATAATAACTCAGTTACAAGTTTTAAATAATACTTAAAAAAAAAAAAAAATTTTTTATTCCCTTTCAGAAATGTTCAGAGAAAGTCAAGTACTATTTAATACCTATTTAATTATTAGGAATTAGCGAAATACTTATTTAAAGTATTTCGCTAATTCCTAATAATTCTCTAATTTAAAATGAACCGAATAGAGCATTAATTATAAATTGACTTACATTTTTCGATTTAAAAGATGCCTCAGAAGCCAAAAAATCATGTCATATTTAAGAAAGTATTTTAGGAAGAAGCTCTATAAATAGAAAAGAAATAATGCATAATTTTAATATTAATAATACAATAAACTTTGATAAACTTTGATCTTAATTTTTGTACCTTAACCGAATAAAATCGAATTACCTTAATTTTTTTTTTCTAATGTAATTAACGAAAACTTGTGAAAATATTTCATTCAAATTAAACCATTCTGAGAAAACTGTCCTGTGAAAAGTATAGCATTTAATTCCGTTCAGAATGAAATGTTGTTTAAAAATATGTTGTTTTCACATACTTAGGACTCTGAAGTGTTGTAGAAAAAGAAAATATATACATTTATATGTATATTTACGACGTAATTACAAAATATTTACATCCGAACGCGTCAAATCCCATAGAACTCAATGGTAAATGACCCAATGTTTTGGTCACCACGTAGGGATCGCCGGTGCTTCAGAGCAGGGTACGGGAGAAACTTGTTTAGGGCGACTCCATCTTACTTCCTACCTCCATGGGAGGGTTCTCATCGTGCTGAATCCTGTCGACCTGATTAATCTTAGCGAGGACGCTGCATCACCGAGCACGGTGGACGTCGCAGCGCTCGTAAAAAGTGAAAAAATTCCTTTGCCCTTGGGAATATAAATTAAATTACTTGAATACTGATTTTCTACAATACCTACAACGTTTTCAAAAGTTTTTCAGTTGCGATGTTGATGAGAAGGAAACAGCGGACAATGTGAGGAAGTACAACGAAAGGATGGAATTTAAGATAAGTACCCCCCTTCTTTCATCTAAACTCAATCAAATTTCTATAAATATGTGCCTTTAAATCAATAAATTTTAACTTTTAATCAGTTTTTAGCATTAAAAAATACTTGAAATTGCTTATTGCCTATGGCTTCCTTTGTTAAACAATTCCGAACAGACGCCAACGTTATCAGTTCACGTCTGTCGTCACTTACAAATCCCCCTATCTTGCTTTGAGGAATCTCGTGAGACGGAAAATAGGGGATTCACGGCATCGCGCTATTTCCTCTCGGATCCTCTGGATTCTTTTTTTTTTTTTTTTTTTTTAGATCGCTTAAATATTTTTTGCCTTTAAATAATATTATACCTCACCGATTTTTTCTCATACTGTTCCTTGCTATCTGTTAAATGTCCATATGTAACGGATGGATTATTCGTCACTGCCTTAAATAAATTCTTAGAACTATGAGCTTATATAAACAACAGTGTCCCTCATTGTGTAATTAATTAAGTAATTAATTGTGTAATTAATTAATTAAGTAGTAATAAATTATGGTAGCAAAAATAATAAATCTTGTAATAATTATGATATATAAATTAATAAATAATATGTTTAATTTGTGTTTTTAATACATATACTCAGTAATTTACATACACACACATATATATATATCTTTTTTTTTTTTTTTTGTGTGTGTGTGTGTGTACGGTTGTGGTCTTGTATTCTATATGGTTCTATCTTGTTTGTCTTGTCTGCTGCTGTTTTTTGCAAAAATGTATGAAAATGTTGGGAACGAAAATAGCACAAGTTACTTTAGTTAAATTAATATATACTTTGTATGATGACTTTTGTTGATATCTCAGGATGCAATACATATTACTTTGCATATACTCAGCATACATATTACTTTGTATTTCATGCTAAATACCTTGATACGAAGCAATTTAACACCGTCAATATTTTTTTCTCCCCCAGTAACACATCTATTCATCATTACCAAACACACAACTCACACACACACACAGACACACTTGTGAGACACTATTTATTGTAAATGAAGACAAATTTTCCTCCTTTTAACTACACACTCATGGACACAATCGTATTTTAGGATATTTTCTACTTCTTTTCTTTTCCTTTCTTTCTATAGGCCTTTTTTTTTTTTTTTTTTTTTTTTTCCCTCTCTATTATTTTTGGGCCATTTATTTTAAATTTTATTTTGTCCCATCTTTTCTTCCTGACCCTTTGAACTCGTGCAAGATGTACGAAGTTCCCTTTTTACTCTCCTCAAATACGAAATTGCCCCCTTTCTATATACCTTTCCTTCGCACCTATGCTTGATTTTTCGCCCATCGGTGCAGAAAGACTTAGCGGGTGCAAAACAAGACATCTGTCTACTTTGTCTGTCTGTCTGTATGTCTATAAATCTATATATGAATTCCAATAATTCAAAATACGTGATACAATAATTAAAAATACATGATATATATAAAGTTAAAGTTATTAAACGAAAGAGTTCCAGTCAGATTAAACTTAAGAAACATTGGCAGGTAACAATAAAATGACTGCCGTAAGTTAGGGGAAATATGGGATCATTCTGGGTTACCTGAAAAGCGTTGGTATTTAGCGCCGAAGCTTTTCTATACTAGAATGAAATTTCTTTCTAGGGGTTGACAATACGCTGGTTTTGTTGTCGTCTGTCAGTTTTCTGCCGAAATTTTTATGGCATCCTCGCGTTTGTTTACTTGGAAAGTGATTTCCCTATCAGTTCAGAAGAGTTCTTTTCCATGCTATAAGCAAGGTAAGTGATTTTATTCTGTTATGCACAAAGAAGACATATGAGGAAGAAGAGATATATTACTTCTTTAGCCACCCCAAAACTGTTTTCAATTTCAGAAACGTATGTAACGTATAAGTATCGTTTGGAAACTTAATGGCTAAGCAAATGAAAGATCTGCCTTACATATGTATTGCTGAAAAGATATATATTTTATCTTTCTAATTTAGCGTTGTTTCTTGAGATTTAATTCGAAAGATACTTGCTTAATTCAAAAGAACAATTGAAGCATAAATGGATTACTATAATTCATTTTTACTGCCAGCTAATTATTGTTATTATTTTTTCCCACTAATACTGCCCTAAATAATGCTAATAAAGGTGGTTTAAGTTTATTTTATAATATTTTCACAGTGGTTGATTCTTTTATGATATATTAGATGTTTCGAGTTTTCATCCGCAGAGAACCCGTTGGCGCCGTTGCATTTTTACTCGCCAAGCTGAGCCGAGCCGTAAACGTGGTTTTTAGTGTATGTAAATTCAAGTTAGCAGACAATGGTAGTAAAAATTCACAGATAATAAGTATGTAGATGTAAAACTAACAGGTTAAACGTGATATACGAAAATAAATTTGTATTAAATTCAAGTTAGCACAGAAAACAATGTATTAAGCATAACGGGAAGTAGAAATTCATTTAAAAAATAAAAATTAGTATTGTTATACTTACGTTTACATTATACTTCTATGTATTTTCTCTAATTCATATAGAGTACTAATATACAAGTGTCATTTTTCATTATTAAGTACTTGGCCTGTTGAGCCATGCCATTTCGATAAGAGCCATGCCCATGTAATAAATTAATGAATGCATGACCTTTAATACATCCATTTTACATAGTTTTCAGTATTTTTTTTTTTTTTTTTTTTTCAAGTTACTTGCATACAGCTTAAAGCATTTTACGTTGCAACAAATACCTGTCCTTTTTCATAATATATTTCACAATACAAATAACCTTCAACAGTAATGAAATTTTCTTCACTAGCATTGTTAAGTTAATAAAACTAGAACTTTATACATTTAAAAATTATTTTAGGATTTGGAAACCTCATGGTTCTGCGTGCTTACAGCTGTTAATAATTAAGAACATAACGTGAACAGCATGTTACAAATTAGCATTCACCCCTCCCGCCATATTTTCTTCCTTTGATCCCGAACTGACGAGCCGAGAACCGGCATCTTTCGACGAAAACTTCTTTAATTATGCGAAAATATTTCTATCTATTCGTTGTTAAAAAATTCAGAAAAAATAAAAATAAATAAGAGAAGAATAATATAAATCTCCAAATGCGAACAACGACAATCTTCGCACAAGCGAATAGGATGAATTAGCTAGGTTACCATGTTTGAACTATTATCGCCAAAGTTGGCGATGTTTACATTTACCGGGTTCTCTGCGGAAGTGCTTCCGATGTCTCTTTCTAACTTAGCGTTATTTTCGCTTTAATGTCGTTAAGCAGTTTGAGTTCAAAGTTTGCATCCCAAAGTACATTCAGATGAGAACTTTTTAAGAAATTCATAATTATATTATAAGTTATATTCAAAGCTGTGATTAAAGTATATTTTATTAATACAATTTAAACCAATGGAGCTAAATTTGAGAAAATAAAAGTGAATAGAAAAGGGTATAAATAAATTGGATTATAATTATATTATAAGTTATATTCAAAGCTATGATTAAAGTATATTTTATTAATACAATTTAAACCAATGGAGCTAAATTTGAGAAAATAAAAGTGAACAGAAAAGGGTATAAATAAATTGGATTTTCTGGTACTTTGGAATTATCCCGTCGACTTGTAAATGTTCGCGCAAATCCTTTGGCGCCATCATAATAAAAAGCAATTTCCAAAATAAACATGAATCAAAACAAAGTGAAAACCTGTATTTTTTTTAACTACACTCTGAATTATTCATGAATTTAACCATATATATTATTGTAAATCATTTCAGCGACTAAATCATGTTATTTTCTTTTTTTTTTCCTACTTATTTATTCAGAATTGTTATTTATATTATGTTTAGTACTGTGTTTCAAATATTCTGTTATATTAAGCTTAATAGTATTATCTATTAGCTTAATTATTATATGCTAAATTATATGCTAAATATATCTGTATTATTTATTTCTGCTATTAAAATTTGTAGAAAAAGGTATTCCCCAGACATCTTGCATAGTTTTGTGAATAGAATTTTGTTTTTAAAATTTTCTTGAATCTGTATAAATCAATTACAGAATTTCGTCTTTCACATTTAAATGTTTTTCAGTAATGTTTTACTTTAAGTAAAATTAACTATGGAAATTTTAGGATAATGTATTGTCTTAATTTTAATTAGTATGTACATACTGTTTTAATTTAATCAATTCTTAACTGTTTATCAGTATAGATTTTGTTACATATTAAAATTTTATGTAAAGAATTAAATACTAGGTAACTATATAAATCTAAAAAATGATCATTGATATTAAATTTTTAAATTTAATTTTTGTAAAGAAGGGTGTTGTTCTTTATTGTGTTGGTGATAGTTCAAAATATATTTTCAATGATTATTCAGTTCATTTCTAAAGCACCATCTCTTACAATTAACTCAAATATCTAATTATCTGAAAATGTAAGATATCAGTATATAACATTTTCCAATACAGGATGCAGTTTAACATCCAAAATATCATATACATTAGCAGCCTATATTCATAAAATTTGATTACTCCCTTATACCAAGGAAGGTATATCTGACACCAGTTCTCGAAATAAAAGTTTGAATTCACCGATTAACTTATATAACTTCACCCATTAAAATCCACAGTATATTCCTAAGTAGCATTCGAATAAAAATGAAATATGAATTTATGGGCATGGTTATTTAGAAAAAGCTGCATTAACCCAATTTAGTCTAATATATTTCCAGGCTCCAAATGCACCTTTACCAGATTTATATATTCATGGAACCCATGAATTTTGAAGGAATTAAACATGCAGCAACCATAGCTTTCAAATTTGTTTTTATTATGTTATTATTATTATTTATCTATAGGAATCAGGTTATACAGTTATTTTTAGTATCAGTATACCACTAAAGATTAACATACTGTTCCAACCTCTACATATTATAAAAATGCTTGAAACATTAAATACAGTTTCAGTCAGTTATGAATTTAAATACTTCAAATATTAAAATGTAATTTTTGTCAATTATTATTTTATGAAATTACATCTATTAATAATAATAAAAGAATAACTGGTTAATCTTTGGATTATGGTAACTTGGCGATTTTTTGGCCAAAATTTGGTGACCAACCCTGCTACAGCAACCTGCAAGTTTTTGTTTGTACACATTTTGTTTTCACGAAGTAAAGGCATTTTTTTTTTTACTCAACATTTTTTTTCCAATAATCTGCTAGCCGAATTACGCTTATGCTAGAACTTTTATGGAAAAAAAGTGCTTAATCATGATGAAGATTAGGTGCAAAATTGGGAGAAAGTGCCGAATCGCAAACTGCTTGCCTCGTTTTTAAGAATTGCACATACACGGTATCCATGTACACATCGACCTACTTTCACTTAAAAAAAACATCCCAGAATTGCACAAAAATGGCACTGCACACACTCATGACTTTATTCATGTACACTGCTAAAGTCCTAGCTAGTAACCTTTATCGCCTTACCAAAATGTCACCAAACTACCTGTTACCATATTCCAAAGATTAGCCAAAACTAGGTAGTCTGAAGCTCATTCTACCTAACTGAAAGCCCAGTCTAGACAACATGCACAGATTAAAGTTCAAACTGTTCATATTCTCGTAAGGGAAGTATACTTTTGTATGAAAATTTCAAGATATTCAAGTTTCTTTATATCCACATGTGCAGTCATTCATCAGATTCGACCATTTTGTGAACAAGCTACTTGATATGGTATCTGTTTGAAATGAACAAGCAGGTATACTTATTTCTTGAATCATGAAAGCATGAAATTGTGGGAAAGGTAAATGAGGCAAGGAATGTTGACCAGCTTGAAGTTTTTCACCCATTTTGAGAGGAGTCGTTGATGCAAGAGACATAGAAAATTAGCCCACCAGTGGCCGGATGGTAATGCCTCCAAACACGGGTGTTTTGTTCGGGGATTGAGTCTTGACAAATGGGCTGGCTGCATGGGCATTTTCATGGTTTTCCCCCATGTGTAACATATATATGAGGCAGTTTCCCTTAGAAATCCTTCATGAAGGCATCTCTTCCCTTAAGCAGATGGCTCTGAAATGCTTTTCCATAATTAAGTAAACAAAACCAAATGTAGTAAATGACATACTTTCAGCGTACCTGATCCAAACTCTACAAGAATTCATATCTTTTATAAAATAAAAAATAAAAAAAAAAAATTGGTACTCACTGATTATCCATCCCACCCTTTCACAAAGTTTCAAATCATTGGCTATTAATTTTTTACCAACCCAGCATGTAAAAACAGTAGCCATTTTAAAAAATGACAATGCATTGAAAATTACATAAAACAGCAAGAAATTAAAAATGTAACAAACATCCTTAATAAAACACTTTCGGAACTACTCTGATATGCTCCCTCAAGTCGCCAAATTTTTTGCCAAACAGTTTTGGCGAGAAACTCCACGCTGCCTTATTACTATCTAAATTTTTTGTCCACATTTCGAACTTTAAGCCTAAAATGTCTCCAAAAACCCGGTTTTCGCACATGCAAAAACCATGTTTTGAACCCACAATTTAAGCTAAAAATCCGAAACAAAAACAAAAAATTTAGACAGCAAAAATGTAAAGTTTCTAACCAAAAATATTTGACAAGAATCCATGTACACAGAGATATGTTTTAACTTAAAAAAACATCTATGAATGGCACAATCTAGGCAACGAACGAATTTACAAACTACTCACACTTCACTTTAATAAATTAGCATAACAACAATAAATTTCAAAGAATACCATGTACACAGCATCC